GGAAGGAAGGAAGGAAGGAAGGAAGGAAGGAAGGAAGGAAGGAAGGAAGGAAGGAAGGAAGGAAGGAGAGAGAGAGAAAGAAAGAAAGAAAGAAAGAAAGAAAGAAAGAGAAAAGAAAGAAAGAAAGAAGAAAGAAAAGATAGATAGACAGATAGATAGATAAATGTGAAAATTTTCTAGGCTAGGGTAGACTAAGCAAATCAGTAAAACAAGCAGGAAAGCTATGCCACACACATTTAAGTTAGACAGAGAAACGAACCTGGAGACCACTAAGGTGACAAGACGAGCTGATCAGCAAGCTTTGGGGGATTTTCCTGACTCCACTTCCCCAGTGCTAGAATTACAGTCTGGGCCCTCCATACTCAGCTTTCTACTTGGGTGCAGGGACCTGAACTCAGGTCCTCATCCTTGAAGTGAACACTTTATCAAATGAGCCATCTACTCATCTCCTGAGCTCTTCTGGAGTTCTCAAACTGAGCCTCTCTCCTACCCAGGGGCTGACATCTGGTTTTACAGCTCACCCCTTTACTCCACAGCTGTGTTTTCTGTTGCCTTGCAATATGTTTGAAACAACAGAAGAAAAAGGTATGGGGCATAGACTATGTATCTTAACTAACATGAATTCACTCACTTTTCAAAAAATGTGAGTAACTGGATGTCTCAGTACTGCTGGTGGAAAGGAATTATTCTTTATTTATTGAATGTCTTGATGCGCTTATCAAAAATCCCATTTACAGGGGGCTGAGGAAAACCCACAAGTTTTTTTTATTTCTATTCTTGGTTTTCACTGACACACATAGTCTTAATGCCAATACCAGTGTTGTTTACCACTGCTTTCTAGTAAGTTTTTAAATGATAAATTTGTGAGTGTGTCCCTCTCCTGACCAACTGTGTAACTCTTTTCCAAGCTGTAGGGCTATTCAAAATTCCCTCCTCTAATAGCAACTCTTTCCTGTTCTGTTCATTCAACACACCAAGCACAGAGGTAGTAAAGAACATATTAAAGATGGAGAAGTCAGGCTGGAGATGGCTCACAGGTTAAGAGCAATGGCTGTTCTTTCAGAGGTCCTGAGTTCAATTCCCAGTGATCACGTGGTGACTCTGTAATGGGATCTGGTGCCCTCTTCTGGCTCACATGCAGGCAGACTACTTTATATATAATAAATAAATGAATCCTTTTTAAAAATTAAGAACTCATGCCTACAGTTTACATTCTTGTGTTTCCTACTAAAATATGAAAACAGAAGTATACGTGACACACTAGAAGGATTGGTCTTAGAAAATGAGAACTGAGCTGGGCACAGTGGCACACACCTATAATCCCAGCACTCTGGGAGGCAGAGGCAGGGGGATCTCTGAGTTCGAGGCCAGCCTGGTCTATAAACTGAGTCCAGAACAGCCAAGGCTACACAGAGAAACCCTGTCTCAAAAAGCGAGAGAGAGAGAGAGGGAGAGGGAGAGAGAGAGAGAGAAAGAAAGGAAAGAAGGAAAGAAAGAAGAAAGAAAAACAGAAAGGAAAGAAAGAAGGAAGGAGAGAGGGAGGGAGGGAGGGAGAGAGGGAGGGAGGGAGGGAGGGAAGAAGGAGGAAGGAAGGAAGGAAAGAGAAAGAAAGAAAGAAAGAAAGAAAGAAAGAAAGAAAGAAAGAAAGA